CATGTGTATCGCTTTATATGGTCATTCAGATACATATCCTCGGCAGCACATCATCTAATCACCATATGGATCGCTTTAAATTGTCATGTAGATGCATATCCTCGGCAGCACATCATCTTATTAGCATATGGATCACTTTATATGGTCATGCAGATACATATCCTCGGCAGCACATTATCTAATTAGCATATGGATCGCTTTATATGGTCATGCAAATACATATCCATGGCAGCACATCATCTAATTAGCATATGGATCACTTTATATGGTCATGCAGATACATATCCTCGTAAGCACCTTATCTAATTAGGATATGAATCATCTTATATGGTCATGTAGATATATATCCATGGCAGTACATCATCTAATTAGCATATGGATCACTTCATATGGTCATGCAGATTCATATCAGCAGCACATCATCTAATTAGCATATGGATCACTTTATATGGTCATGCAGATACATATCCTAGGCAGCACATTATCTAATTAGCATATGGCTCGCTTTATATGGACATGCAAATGCATATTCATGGCGGCACATCATCTAATTAGCACATTAATCACTTTATATGGTCGTGCAGATACATATCCATGGCAGCACATTATCTAATTGGCATATGGATCACATTATATGGTCATGCAGATACATATCCTCAGTAGCTCACCATCTAATTGGCATATGGATCACTTTATATGGTCATGCAGATACATATCCTCGGCAGCACATCATCTAATTAGCATATGAATCACTTTATATGGTCATGCAGATACGTATCCATGGCAGCACATTATCTAATTGGCATATGGATCACATTATATGGTCATGCAGATACATATCCTCGGCAGCACATCATCTAATTAGCATATGAATCACTTTATATGGTCATGCAGATACGTATCCATGGCAGCACATCATCTAATTGGCATATGGATCACTTTATATGGTCATGCAGATACATATCCATGGCAGCACATTATCTAATAGGCATATGGATCACATTATATGGTCAGGCAGATACATATCCTCAGCAGCACATCATCTAATTAGCATATGAATCACTTTATATGGTCATGCAGATACATATCCTAGGCAGCACATTATCTAATTAGCATATGGATCACTTTATATGGTCATGCAGATACATATCCTCGTAAGCACATTATCTAATTAGGATATGAATCATCTTATATGGTCATGTAGATATATATCCATGGCAGTACAGCATCTAATTAGCATATGGATCACTTTATATGGCCATGCAGATACAATCCTTAGCAACACATCATCAATTAGTATATGTATAGACTGTCCATCTTGCTGTCGAGAACTTAGGAAATCCTGTATATCATAATGAATTCCTTTTCTGTGATATTGGTAGTCTATGTAGGGTTAATTACTAAAAATCCATATTTGAAAGATGAATTATAATAGCCTGCATTGATGGTTCAATACTTTCACGGCATTACGAATCGTTTGCCATATCATATAGCCCATGGTGGTAGTTATATGCAGATCATTCAATTTGTGAGTGGAAAAGATTTACAAGGCCAATTTCAATACAACAAATTATGTATCTCTTGATGTATCTCTTTGTAATTTTTGTGAAGTGTTTGTTTTTCTTCTTCGGCGACGACAAAGTGATGCTACCTGGAAAGTTTACCATTGAAACGAGTCGTAAAGTAGTTCCTGTCCAAGCGCAAAAAATATTCCGACGATCTTGCGTTCTTGCTTCTTTATAATAATGACGATGTAATAATTAGGAATAGATTTAAATAAATATGTTTAAACCAGTAGAAGCGCTAATATTGTGTTCTTTGCCGTATACGTTGAATGGCTGTTATGTTTATGGGTGATTTTTTTCGTTATTCTTATACTTTAAAAGTACTGTTTTCGATTATTATCTGTCCAAGAAAGCATCTAATTAAATATTTCCATGCAGGGCTGTATTTAAACGCACATTCCCTTATTCGATAATACTACATTATTTGAAATTGTGGCACAACGCCAAGAGAGCACTTAAAACGTTTTCAAATGGACTGAAAACGTAGATTAGTTACATGTACATTTGATCGTGGACACCTGTTCATACTGGTCAGGTCTTTAGTTGTCATCGTCGGAACCGTTCTCCGGGTGATATTATCCATTAGTGTATTCGCAATAGGTGGAGTAATATACTGATGTTGATTGATTTATTGAATGCCCAAGCAAATGACCTCGTTGACAGTTAGTTGAACCCGTGCAGGTATCCGGAGTCAAATGCACGGCTGCTTTACTCTTCCCGTCTTTAAGAAGGTTCAACCACCTGTTACACAACAGCGTTGGAGGTCCGTTTGGTTGATTGTCTGTGTATACTTAGGAGATGCAGTGAAAGATTAGGTTATACCAATGCGTATGGGTAATATAACGCATCATCAATGTCCCTACTACTCGTGCAGAATTTCACGTTGCTACCTACAATTTAACTCGCTGGGTGAATTCACTATTTTGGTGTCTTGCATATATTTCATTGAGTTTTAATTCATGGTGGTCGTAACTTCGCTTACTCCTTTACAATGTGTTTACCAAAATATGTTAACAGTACTTCAAGCCCAACTTTCACAGGCAAGTCCGCTGAATTCTTGTCACGATTCATTTAAGAGAGTGGTAGTTCTTTCAGTGTGTTAGCAAATTAGAACTCTCTCTCGCATACACGGCGGCGGGTAAATGAACAAACATGTGTCTCACTGTGTCAAACACGGTGTTAAATCGTGAAAAATTCCTTGCAAAAGACGAAAAATAAGTTGTCAACAAGATAGTCATACATTCGTTGTGCATTTAATGTATTAATATTAGATGTGAACACATATCGAATATAATTTATACCCAGGCCGAATCGACCAAACTGTTTTGGAGCCGGGACGTCCAAACCAGGGCCTTAAGCGACCAGGGCCGGATCGTCTAGAAATCCAAACGCTCCCCTTTGCGTGGCACTTACGCATTGTATTTTCGAGACCTACATAAGTATGCCCGGCAACAGGATGTATGCTTCATTTCATATACAAACTGATTACACGGTCTTGTTAGGCTACCATAACACTGATCCTGTACTAGTTGTCCCTTATTCGAGTCCTATTCACCTTTATCAACGGGTCATTTAATAACGCCAGTGAAGAATAGTTCTGCGGACACGGGTAATTTCTCCCCGATTGCCGGTAGATGAAAAAGTGCGGCTGTGATTTAGATCGTGACAAATGATTGGCGCAACCCTCGCCAATCTCCACCGTCGCAATTCGGTGATAACATATTGTATATGGTGTGCATTTAAATACCTTCGTTGATAACTACAGCAAATATAAATCCCGTACCATAGTATCTCCCATCGCAAGTTTTTGTCATGTATAACCGTATTGCGAAAGTGCCCATCATGCATATTTACGTAAATGTTCTTCAAAAGTTGCAGAAGACGTCGTATCTTTTGGCACGTTTGAGCAAGAATGTGTTGATCAGATAGATGTCCGGGAATATAAACACTTGTTTTTGTGTATTTAAAAATCGTGGCAGACAGCCCTCCTCGAAAACCAGACATACTATTGGTATCTGTGTTAATTATTTTTATTGTTTTATTGTGTTCGCCACGCTCAGCTATTTGCACAATTCAGAAGTTGATTACACATTAGCGGCTTTTGAACGCGTTGTTGCATTGTTTATCTTGTGTCTATTCATTGAAGTTGATCGGGTCATAGACCTAAACAGAATCTGGGATGTACAATGGAAATACATACATAATTCAGTGTAAACTAGCATTTTCGAAACTTGTCGTTTCCTCTTTACATTGTGTATGTGATGAATATTCGGTACCCAATATTAGCTCAAGGTTATATCATTAAACTTCTCAGTAAAGGTCGATGGGAGGAGGTGTAGAAATTAAATATAACGGAGAATGGAGCTTATTTAGGAGTATATAAATCGTGAGTATATATATATTTTGAGTTTGTTGACTGTTATGATTTTTGAAAAAAACATTACATCCAGGCGTACGATACGCGTTTGATTACAGTGTCGTGCCTGTGATTCCAGGCGTACGATACGCGTTTGATTACAGTGTCGTGCCTGTGATTGACGTTATAATGGATAAATTCTTGTTATGGCCATATATTCTCAGATCAACGTTACAGTATACTGTAATACAGATAATGGTTTGTCTGATGGAGTTCGGAATTAAAAAAAATAACTGTTGACATGCGTTATACTAGTAAGCTGAAGTTCAGTTAAAGTTTTTGAAATTTTATTTTATGTCGTTATATATAGCGTATAGTTATTCTTTTGTATTAGTGGGATTTTCGTCTTAGTTTTTCACAATGACGAACTACTGGTAGAGTTGAGTACCTCGCGAATTATAATATCCAACATCGACCTCACTATGTCTTGTATATCGAATAAAACCGCTATGGAGATGTATGTATACTACCATTCACGTCCTTCAAGTCGCATTAAAAAACTAGAAATTCTATTTTGTTGTCAATGCCGAAATATATCCGAATGGTTCCGAACTCTGACATAGTCTGAATGCGCGATATGACAATTCACATGAAATGATATATTATTATTTAAGCATGAGTGAAAGTCAAGGGTAGTATTGTTTAGTAACGGATTTTGATTTCTTTTTTTAAATATGTGCTGTGGGTCCGTTGGAAAGAATACGATGCTATTAGGTGGATGGAATTCAAGTAGGCCACCTGCAGTGCTTTCCAAACTTGTTTTCAATCCTCTCCATTTCTACTCCGTGCACATTGTAAGAAATATCTAATAGAACATATCTCACACTAAAGCTTCAGTTTTTGTGAATCTACGCGGAAGGCGTTGTCATAGTGACCGGGTTGTCACGGCACATCTGGGCGGAGATCCTCCACTAAAGGATGAATATGCGGATGAAAGTTGTTGCAGACGACGCATGCGTGGAGTAATTTAAGTTTGACTCGACGAATGGACCCATTGACGTCCATTGTAGAATAGTATTATCTATGTATGCCCCCATCTCTGTCTTTTAGGTGGCTTCAATGCAATCACTGGCACTGGCAAGTACAAAGAGGCATTCTGCTATTGGTATAATCATTCTGGTATCACACAGAGTCATACGTGTTTACAACGAGTCTCTTCGCCTGTGTGACTGTATTTTTGACAGGGCGCTTTATGATATTGTGTGGTGATCCTCGACGATATACTTGACTGTGGGATCTCCACATTGCACCACCAGGGAAAGTATCAGCGTCGGAAACCATCGGAGAGGACCGCTGTGCGACGGTCATTTTTGTACCATATCATTGTCGATGGTAAGCGTGATGAATACGTAGCTCGTTACAATAACCAACTCAACGCTGTGATCTGGGATCAAAATACCGTTTGAAATGTTCCGAGGTTAGTTGACTTTACAAACAGATATATATTGTACTTGTAGTACGATTTCGCTAAATACGGTGAACACCAACAAGCGACATTGATACTACTACACACAACTTGCAGTACGACCGAGTCCGTCCTAGAAAACTAGTCCATAACGTTCTCAGTACGTTCATTTAATTGTATGACTGAATGGCATACCGGCATTTTTTTACTGTTATTTTTTTCATACTGAGATACCTCAGTAAATATTTTAACGTACGACTCAGGTATAGCGTAATGGCGTGGCATTCGTTCATCTCGTATCTTACTCGTTTAATGGGTCGTGGAAAGTACCAACATAATTGCGGTTGTCATACCATCAAAGACCCAAGATTTGGCGTGTAATAGACAAATACGACATGCAGCTGTTGACAGTCTCACTGCATGGAAAGGTGATGGAAGGCAGTACTTATTCGATAAAGACTGTCGTATGCGAAATGAAAGACTCGCACCCCGTTTGACACTGTCTGGCAAATGTCTGGAAAAGAGCACGTGTGGATGTTTTTTTTTTAACATTTCTTGATGACAATGTTTTCTCATGGAGCTCCATTCTAGCTCCATGGTTTTCTGTAAACCACTAAATTAACTGACTTAAGTTGTACTAAACTCGACAAACGGGGATTAAAGCAATCAAACCATAGTGGTCGGTCTTTCTGAAAGTTCTTCAAAGGAAACACGCATACAGGGACAGTTTGTCAACTGCATTGAAAATCGTCCGTAAAAAGAGCACAGTAAATATTTGTTCTGCCACTCCAAACTGTTTACCATTCAGCACATTGTGAGTGTGCTTTTGTTTTTAACGATGGACTACAATTAAAACAAATGAGTTCATTTTCTTCAGTGATCGCTGCTATTAGTGCTAACGAGAGGGGTTCACTGTGACAAACATTTGTCTGTTACCTCGAACGAGTGTCAATTTCCCTGCCTACCTTTCTGGGTGTATAAAACAGAGGTGGGGCTCAGACCCGTCATTCCACCGAGGCACTCCACGCTATCACATCGTTTGTGTGAGCAGAAGCTAGTGTACAATATTCCGCCCACCACTTACACACGTTCACATCACACCGTCGGTACTGATAGTTGTGTGTGTAAGTTGAAAGATTTTGACTTGCATATGTAGTTCTTGTAAAATACATACATAGCGACGACGTCATACGTAAATTCGTCACGTGTTTGATCATGTATTTCTTATAAATTTTCACTTTTAACTCAGTATTTTTGTTTTCGTCCAGGTCACTACACTTCCAAACATATCGTCCAACACCAAAGAAGAATATTCACCGTGATTGTCCTATAGTAGACTTTGTCAACGGTAATACTAAGAACATCGACAATCGATATGGTGTGGTCATTGTCTTCTACTGTAACAGTTTTAGTCTTCGCCACCCTGATGACGACATCACTACATTCCAGTTACGCTATACAATGGCTGTAAGTTTTTTATTTCCTTTTTCTCTCTTCATCTCAGACAATATTCTCAATATAACTACACTTGTTATACCCGGAATTTGCAGGCGAGTCTCGGGGATCAGTACAAATTAAACCCTGATACTTTACCGAAAGCGTCACTCATATCAATGCCTGGCAAAGTGGTGCACAGTTCCACAAGAAACAACATTATTGGGTCGCATGATCCATTAACTATCTTTTGGAATCCTCAAATATACTATAATACTCAAAATGCGACAAACACTGGTCCTAGTAAGAGAAATTCAACTAATATCAATCGCCACTTCCAACACATTTAAACAGGAGTTGGTGTCACGGCTTTATTCAGAGAGAAGTCCCCCTCATTGTTTTATTTTTATCTTTACGTAAAACAATTAAAGAGCGAGTAGATAATTGCCACACCGTTACGTAAGCAGTATACGCTATGCCTACCCTTGAAGGTGTTCCGTAAATACATTACGCCACAGATCGTAGTGAATTGCATGAGAACACGACTTGTCCTCGAAAACATAAACAGACGTAAATTTGACTGTATGAAATTGGATTCGTCTGTTAGGTAAATAATATTATGCGATCGGATATAATTGTTATGTTTAATGGACTGTTTATATTATAATCTCGTTTAACTGCGATAATCCGACAATGGTTATACAATAACACGCATCCCATATATACGTTGAGAGCCTATAGCGACAATTCTGATAATATGCATTCCACGATGTGTTCAGCGTATGCTCCAGGCGGTTGCTGTAATTCATTTTATATACACAGAATCAAAAGTTTGTTCCAGAAATTGCAACAAACTTGACGACCATCTGTATTTTATTAAATGTAATTTGAGACAGGAATTGAGAATTTGTTTTTGCCATATCACATTTCATGATGGTTTAGCATATTTAGCATCATGGACAAGTATGAATACCTTGAACTTACAAACATAAATTGTGTATTTTTTGTAATCCATCTTTTATTTACATATATAACGTATATCATGTTCATCAACTTTCATTCAGTCAATGCACTGGCATTTAAAATAACATAATACATATACACTTTAATTAACTGCATCGACCACCAATTCTCGTATATGTACATACTATCATTCTCTTTTTGCTATAAATGGGCAGTAGACAATACCAGTGACTATAAGGCGGGCTTGTGTTCTTTAAGACGACTGAGCAGCTGAAGAATAAGACTCCATAATCTCCCCCGATGACAGGTCTAAATCGATGAATTCGAGCGAAAAAAATCCGCAATAAAGCTCGATTGTTGTGGAAGCATTTATGGGTTTGCATAATACTGGGTCAGACCCCTTGAGAGGCTTTCAACTCTTTCAGATGAGGTATTTAATCGCTCAATTGAAAGAAAATAAGTAGAAAAAAGTAGCCCATGTGTCTCAGTAGATTGTAGCTAATTGATTTCACTTTCATTCACTTAGTTAGTAACTACCGATATCCGTTTAAATTCAATGCTTTGTCAGTCATTCAACCGTTTTTTCTCTATATATATTCATTTATAAAAAGTGCACTTTCCGCTATTTTTTTCAATTTGACGCATAATAATCAGCAAGTGAGTCATAGTTTGACACCGACTACATAGAAAACACTTACGGCATGTGCCCTTACAGGTTTCCGTCGATCGTATTTTGCCGATGTTGTTTAGTTATGATGTGGTGTTTTTTGTTATCGTCTTCCTCGCTATTGCTGTTGATGATGATGACGGAGAATGATTTCCTTTGTTTAGCTAAGTCACATTGTTTTATAGGCAAAACACATACCGAAATCGATATACCTCGTCGAAGCATGGTTTCGATAATGTTAACTGGGTGGACGATATAGGCAGGTCAACCACTGTCTTTGAAAACCATATATTCATCGTTGATATCCATTCTTCGTTATTCAGAATGCGTATAGCGTAGTTTAATGACTTGAAAAGACGCCGATAAAGGTGTGTAGGGGAGATCATTTGCCCCCAGTTGGCATCATTGTTCCACCATAACATCAAGCATTCATCGGTTTTCAGATTATTCGTGTTGAAAAAACAAGTCAGTTGGTTAATCCTCAGCTAAATAATATACTGACTCGTTGTGTGATACACAATATCGAACTCTGGTCACGTCCTATGGCAATATATATTAAATATAACACGTCCAACATTTATATGGGGTCTATTTGAGACGGTTAAACGTTACGGTGAAGGCGCCTCTTGATATCATGGTCGGTCAGCATTTTCGCATCATTACTTGTACAATATATATTTGAGTTACATACTACGTTACTGTGAATAAACCCACTGTTGGTCAAATAGTGCAACCGATCGCAAACGTTACAAGTTGGTGCATCAAATTAACTCATCAATACTAATTCAATTAAATGTTGTATTAGATAATGCCATGCTGCTTCGTTTGTCTTCGTTTCTTTGATGATAGACTTGAATGCAAGGACATACACTGCATTTTACTTGTGACTGTTCTATACAATGTTTTTGTTGTTGCCCAACTCCTCAGTTTACTTTTCCCTTTCTGACTGAATGTTTTCTTAATTCTTCTTATAGTGCATTGGCTGGTCATGAACCTAAACTGTACTGGAATCAAACATCGTCATGTAGACGGGCGAAAGCCGGAATGGTCTCGGCACAGAAAAAAATATGTCGACAAGAATTAGACTCTATGGAAGGTATCGTGGAGGCGGCGGAGCTAACGAAACAAACGTGCGTGAAACAGTTTGCCGACCGAAGATGGAATTGCTCTAGTATCAACACAGCGCCCGATTTCACACCGGATCTTGATAAAGGTAACGGATTGCCCAGTTCATTAGCCTTTCTTGCTAATTCCATAACGTGGCCTTAAGCTAAGTAGGTACTTTAAAAGCGCGTCCTTGAATGCATTTTCGACATGTAATTGGGGTATATTGTGACAATAGAAACTTCCATATGCAGTTAGTTATACGTGATTTCACCCTAGTGAATGAATAGCACATAAATTAATTAATTAATTATTAAACTAAACTAAACGACCCACTAAATATTACCCTAATATGTAAAACATATGTCGAATTTAGGCTAGAACCGTTATTTTCTCATAATGAAACGTATATGCCTGCTTCTTATTTGTATGTTCTCCTTCACCACTCAAGTTATTGGCATTCCGGTTTTGAGGTAGAACAATACTCAAGGGATAAAAATATATATATTATAAGAGAAATCTTAGAAATTGGTGGATAAAATGAACTTGTTTTGTGGCATGTGTGTTTTTATTAAGGTCTATGGAATCCACTGCTAAATTGTAATTTTATGCTAATTATTTGGCAGTTTGTCTGAAAAAAAACTAGATTGGCAGTGACCACTGATAAAACGATTACTTTTGACACGCTATATGCGCTAAAATATGCGCACATGTGAAAAACTCGTCCTCTTTGGGTAAATGAAGGCAGTACATCGCAACGTACGTTTGATTTATAAAATAAAAAGATTAGAGAACTTCAATATCCATCAACATGACAGTCCACATGCAGACAGGATATCGTCTGCGGCCGTCTGGGGGTCGGATGTTTAAATACGTATCGTCGAACAAATTACATCTGAAATCCGTTTTGCGAAATTAATTATGTATAGCCCGAGGCTTGTGAATTCCATCTGTAAGGGTTGCCCATCCAAGCGTTATAACAAGTAACCGAATATGGGCACATTTATACCAACACTTGTGGTCAAATACGGACCAACCCATTATTGGGTGACATTCGTGTTGAGCCTGAAATTCAGATATATAAGAAATACATTGAATCATTTATACTGGGTGTGCTCATGTTCTGGATACATGAGGTGAAGCTTTATGTGGTTGATCGACTTCACTGATGCTGTTATACAATGTAATTATTATTATATTTAATAGGTACGCGAGAAGCCGCCTTCGCATACGCACTGGCAGCGGCAGCAATATCATACTCCATGGCAATTGAATGTAGTTCCGGTGCCATCAGTAAGTGCGGATGTGGACGTACGCCACCAGAAGAGGCGGACGCCGATTTTCATTGGGGAGGGTGCAGCGATAATGTGGGATATGGTATGTCATTCAGTGCACGTTTTGCCGATGCACCACTGCGAACAAAAAGAAAGAGAAATCAACCAGAATCATTAATGGGACTTCATAATAACCAAGCAGGACTTTTGGTAAGTTATACATGACCGCCATCGTTATTGCTTTCAACCTAGTTCTGCGAACCGCTTGTCATATCTTACGCTGTACACCTATTAGTGAAGCATAAAGAAGCAATACAGACTACAAGTATTACGGTCACCGGGTAAATTTATAGTACGTAATACATTAATAGTACGTACAAAGCACCTGCGCAGTTGCGTATTATATGAGTATGTTGTTGCGCTAAAAATAAGCCTGTAGATCATCGCCAGACCATTCTTTGCTCCCAGTCTATAATTAAGTACGATTCTTACAATCCGTCGCTGCATTCGTATTACCCAATTTATGTTTATTACAGACAGTTCAAGAGAACATGAAGAGGAAATGCAAGTGTCATGGCGTGTCTGGTTCGTGCAATGTCAAGACATGCTGGCAGTCACTGCCAGAAATGGAAGAAATAGGATCAAAACTAAAAAGGAAGTATGCAGGTGCGACCGAAGTTGTCAGTGAAAAAGTTGGCAACAGATATAATTTAGTACCCGTTGATACGAACTTGAAAAAATTCACCGAACAAGACCTAATTTACCTCACGAATTCACCCGACTACTGCCGACAAAATGAAAAAACTGGATCACTGGGAACGGTGGGAAGGTACATAAAGTGCTTGTTTTGTTTTGTTTTTATTTCTGGCTAATCAGAAATTCACGATCTTTCGATATCTTTTACCCACACACTGTAGTTTACACAATGGCGATTATTATACGTTCTCTGTATGGTCTCATGAAATTTATTATCTAACAACAATATATATATACTCTGATGACACACAGCTGTACATATCATTTAAAGCTGATGATATGGATCGTAACATTGCCCTTATAGACACTCTTATCCAAGAAATCCATCGCTGGATGACGTCTTATTTGCTGTTTTTGGGCAACGTCACAATATGACAAAATAGGACATATTATCTGTATAGTTGGATGACTCTTTTATAAATCCATTAACATCGCTACGTAACCTGGGCGCTTCGGTTGCAATCACATGAGCTTGGATATTTTTCACATCAAGTATATCAGTTCAGTTAGGAAATATCTTACTCAAGGCAAAACTAAACAACCCGTTCATACCTTTGCTACATCGCGAAATAATTTACTCTATGGCGTCATTAATATCTAATATCATCATAAAACTGCAACATTTACAAGGTTCTCGTTTGATTATGAAGACCAACAAACATGAACATATAAAAACATTAGCCCCTTTTAAACACACATTTTTACTGTTCTGTGAAGCGCTTATAAACATTCTTTTGATACGTGGCGTTATATAAATCTTACAATTTCGTATTCTTCTTCAAAATCGATAATTTTTAACTTATAAATTATATCTTTTTCAGGTTTTGTAACAAGACGTCAATTGGAAACGATGGGTGTGATTTAATGTGCTGCGGACGAGGATACAAAAGCATGGTGATAACAATAGTAGAACAGTGCCAGTGTCGATACCATTGGTGTTGCTACGTCAAATGCAAAGAATGTTCGCGGACAGCCGAAGTACAAGTGTGTAAATAAAGCATGCGGTTTATTGAATGAGCGCCATCAAACTGCGAAAGACACATATACTCTAGATCTTTCCGTTGAGGGCGTATTCGGACTCTAGGTGTTGAACATTTTGTTGTTGTTAAGCGTCCTCAAAGATTGTTTCAAAAGTCAAAATGGAGCTATTATATTTAAGAATATAATTTATGTATTTTGTTTATATCAAGTAATGAATATATTACTGTTTTAATATATGTTAATTTAGCATGTAAATGTATCCCGCCGATTGCTAAATAACTGTTAGGACGGCCTCAAGTTACAGCACTACAGTCGTTGCGCCGTGTCGTGTTCGATACAGGACTTTTAGCGACGTACGCAACGCGTGTAAAATACATTGTTTACATGAAATTTGAACATGCGCTGTGCGACGAATGTAGCGCTTTAAAGCGGGTGGTCACCTTCTCATGCGCGGGAATTGGGTCCCAAGCGGCAAAACAACACACGCTAAAACGCAAAGGCTCATGGGTAACCGCTTGTTTGTAAACAATGAGACGCTATGACCATTTGACGCATGCGCAGATGACGACTCCTCCGCTTAAAGAGCTGTTTTTATCGCCATGACCGACTGACCTCCATTGTCTCGAATGAGTATTGGTATGAATTCAATTTCCCGAACTCTAAGTTTTATTAGAGTTGCTGACATAAGTTTCACAGTACTAATTACTAATTACAGCCGCCTCATGGGTATTGAATTTCAAACTAATAATATAAAAGTCATTATTGAAAACTGCACCTTCTATATTTAAATATATTAGAGAGAAATCACTAAATTGTTTCTACAACTCATCCATTCTGTGAAATGCTTCCGTATTGACATTTCAAGTAGACACACACCATTTTGTCCATTGTAGTACGTAGTTAGTCGTGATATGATCACTAAACTAGTACACCATCTCGGGATTTTACATACACATGTTAGAACCACTCTGACGTAATCGATTGGTCTAAACAACTCGACTCGACGTAATCGTACTATACATTACGTGCGCAAAAAGTTTAACTATCTTATCCTATTTTATGAACGTACATACCGCCGATCTAGTACAACGTGCATTTTCATTGTAACTAGTGTCAGGTAAATTTCATTCTTGTATATACGACGAACCCACCGATGATTGTAATTTGACTGCCGCCAATATATAGTTTTTTCTACATACTTGAATATAGCCCACCAAGATGTGAGGAAATACACTGCGATTTATCAGTTATATTCTTAGTATTAAATCATTATTTAAAGAAACGAATCGTGTCGATCTCTGTGTAATTACAAGGTCGCTCGAGTGTACTGAATGCTATACAAACCACATCATTAAATTGTACATGTCATATGGTTTAGTTTGTATCTGTGCTGTGTCATTTAACTGCGTAATAAAGAAATATCAAATAAAATATAATTATATCCTAAACAAACGCTCGCCGATATTTTACTAGTTCAGTTATTACCAAAATCCAATTCAAAACATTCGATATACTAGTGAGCTAACTAGTTAGTTAACCCCAATGTCCAAAGTAACAACTCGGGCGCCAATCAAATCGGTCACCTGAAGAGTTCAAGGCCAGTATTTCAAGAAGTGAGAAATTGTGTTGGCAAAATAGGCCGTCCGAAAATTGCACAAAAATGAATACCTGAGGCTCTGAAGTCAAGGCGTCGAATACAGACGATGACCAGAACACATTACAACGCACACAACATGGGCAAAAAGATGTTCTTTCTATTTGTTTTGTTTAGTAGTCTGATTCATGGCCCTGCCATTTTTGTTGATATGGTTATAAAATTAGCGGTTATTTTAGTGTTGGAAAAAGGTTGTGAGATGGTGCCGGGCTGAGCGATATGCACATTTTCTGATCTGGACATCACCAGTGCTCGAGTGAAAATCCGTGTACCTATCGACTATCAGCAAACTGACATGTTTTCAGTCTGACAAAGCAGGAGTATTTTTGCACCGTCTTGTTACTTCTGGGAAAGTCTATAGAGTCGTTATACGAATATGGGACGAAGCAACATTCCTCTAAAACTTCAGATTTGCTTAACCAATTAACTTTTCGTTTCTTGGATTTGAACATTTTTTATGCGTCTTCTAGGTTGTGTCTTTGTTACGTCTGAGCTCGGTTACCATTTGGAAATAAGAAAGTTGCATATATTTGATCACGTGCATAACATTCACATCCAAAGGTCGTCACAGAGGGCGCTTAGCCTTGGGGTAAGCGTTCGCGTACACTTCATTAGCCCATGCTATTAAAGGGCCTGGACCGCGTCTTAAAATCGGATCAGATTTTATCCGTAATTAGCATTAGGAATTTGACCTCTTAGCCCGTGCTAAGGAGCTCTGCGTGAACACAACTATTGGAAACTGAGATTACGAGTATAACCAGGTAAGAAATAATGTCCACTTGCATATCGCCCTAGAGCCAGTAGTTTGTGCTTACACTGGTATTGATCTGGTAACCGATCTACATATTGTGTTATACATGTATTGTTCGGTTTGTATACAGAGCAGTAACATTGGACTCGGAGCATTAGTTTAGTCTTGGGTTCGTTATGCAATCATCTAGCTGTTTGACACTGTTTATCCCCTCCTCTGCACATCATAGAACACGTGCCATTAGAAGTGTCACTAAACAGATTTGACCGGGAAACATTATACATCAGCATACCCGACGTTGGTTACATTTAGAGACAGTGTCACCATATTGCGAGAATCATGTCCCAGCAATCATATCACGGGGTATATCGATATTATGTTTACAAATATACTGCAGTAAGTATATGCTAAACTGTTTACCTATAAGATTGTAGATCCAGAAACTATGTTATTCCATCTATTGCTTGCATCATTTGGTGGATAACATATTCCTTTGACAAGCTTAGATATTTAACAGAGGTGTAAGCAATTGTAATTGGAGTTGGGAGTTGGGCGCCGGGCAACTTGGTGATCGGCTGACTAACAATAGCGTTATCCACCAAATGATTCATAGTCTTTACTTTTCTTTTGTAGCAGACGGTCTCCCATCCCATCATGCACCAGATCAGGGGATTGGTCAAGTCTCTGGCTTTCCAGTCAGAAGCGTTAATCAAGCACGTTTTTTGTACGGAGTTTTGGCGATGCCGAATGCCGTTATATATACGCTATAGCTTTTGATGTTTGAATCAACAGGCCCCGTGGGTTTGCGCTAAGTCTACGCAAGAATCATGTGATAGCGTAGTAGTGTGTTTTGGGAAGTAAGTTTTCAACACGAAGTTTAAGTCTGTTGCATTGGCCAATTGTTATTCATGGTTTTACCCGATTTTTAATATATGTAATAGATACAACAGATCCGCATAAAGGGGGCAATGTTTCATACAAATATGCATGATATGATATGATATGATATTTATTTGAAACGTATACAAACAAAAGTCAGGTAATGTCCAAAAGAGCAAAAGACAATACTACAAGACTAAAACAGATCTAAAATAAAAAAAAAAAAAAAGCAAAATTGGAAAGGATATACTTGTGACAACTGGAGAGAATTTCAATGAATAGATCATGAACACTTAACATTTTGAAAAAAGTGGCTCATAAATAAATAAAGAGAGCTGAGGAACATTGCTGTCTACATTATTTGATAATGCTATACTGACAATGAAATAGGTAATGTTTTCATCCCCAATCATTTCACAATCATGGATTTTACATCGTCTTTCTTCTCTCTTAATTGCCGAATGTCTCCCCTATTCAATATGCCGACACCATAAACCTTGTCAGAGCAATCCTGTGTTTTTTATTTGGAATGTCATCTGAATACTTTTCAAAAACATATTTATCATTCTTAATTTGTTTGTATAAGTCTAATTTTTGTCACCCTGTAGTTCGGTTATGATAAACATTTGTTTCTACTTGTGTTTAGTACATTTTCAGATAAATCAACTGCGGAAAAAAATGACCGGGGATAGTGAGGTGATTGACCACAACATTGAAGGTTGCCCGTGGCAGAAGTACTATTGCGTTAGAACAAACCTATGGGGTGGAGATTGCTTACCTGCGTCCTACTTACAATTCGCAAGGGACGCCGGGAACCAGAGGAAAACACGGAAAACAAATTATTCAAAGATAGCGCTCTCCACAGGCGCAAATATGTTAAGCACGCCCCTTTTTTACACACGCGAAATTGTCATTCAGTGATATTGCCCTCATATACATAATTTTAAAACACACACACATTATTTTAAAATACACACATTTAAAAATAAGGCCATTTTAAAATACACGCGTCATTTGTAAACTAACATCATTTAAAAAAATACACACAATTTTAAAACGCATTTATTTATTGTGCTAAAGCTATATTGTAACACAACAATGGAGAAATTTTATTCAAGCTGTAAACTGATTTATTCATGGCACCACCTGTCATATTGCTATATCCTTCCCTACTCTATATAATCTGGCAATCCAACAGTGGTCTTTGCAAAATGATGCCCAACACATCGGAGAAACGTGTCTCTCGATATCTCAATGCAAGATGTTTCTTCATAGTTGTCTTTGCCATTACAAGTCTATGTTTTGTTTTGTTTAACATATGGTCCTACCCGGACAATGCACCATGGTCGGCTTTTAACGAACAAACGAACTGCTTGTGTAAAGAAGGAAAAGAGGTTTTTGAATCGCCACGCTCTGATGAACTGAACAGAAAGATGAGTGTGGATAGTAATATCACTACCCAACTTATCGAATCGACTTCTAGGCCGTTAGATATCGAACCAACGTGGGAAGCAAGTTATAACGCCACTGGTTACTTAAAGCTTGGCAGCAGGCATATCACTCCCTCCCACTTCAACCCTTATAACCCCTACTTTTCGGACCAACACAAACATTAGCATACCTATACGCAAATGCATATATTCATATATTAGGTAAATCTGATTATCTGCCTTGAATTACAAGACAAAAACTAAAAGCTTGATAGGTAAAATCCAGGCTAGACTAGGCCCTGGTTTGTTTGATTACAAGCTACATTAACTCAATGTCTAACACATCTCCACCCAAAAACAGACGTTTGACGTTTTTTTTTATACTCGAGCCGCAAATTATTCTTTATTGTTGCATTTTAACACTTTATACTGCAGCTGGTACCGTAAAATTCGATGAGTAAATGGAAGAAAGGGCCGACCATCTAGTGATTTGTCACCTTTGTTTGTTCAAACATAAACAGCCCTGGTCGAATAGACAAAGAGTGAAGCATTAAAGACAAACACATCTCAAAAGCGCATCAAAACTATAAATATAGTAATACATTGATAGAAAGATAAAAGAAGTACTGTACTTCATAAATATTCAAGTTGGTGTGTTATTTGTGTATTTCGGAGATGGATGGAAGAGGATAATGTTTTTGGAAAAAACACATGTACCGAAACAGATTGACAGCAGAGACCACAGCATTTCCCAGCATGCCCTACAGATTATACATTTTACCGTTTTTTGTGATGAAACTGTTATACAGCCAAAACAAAGTCAGCTTGGACGTTCAGTTGCGAGACATGACAAAATAAACGCAGCGAGTGCTACATTTCGAAAATAAAAATACAAAATAAACGCAATCAAATGCGCGGGCCACGCATTATATATAGTCTTTAATATAGAAAATTAATTTATCAAAAATGCTAAGAATGAAAGAATCATTACTTGAAACAATAGTAAGAAATAATTCATCATTGCTAAAATCTTCCAACTTGAGGGCATACATGTACAGGGCTGCTAAGAATCTAGATCTATGTTCTTTGATTTGGCAATTATTACAATATAAAATATAATGCTTCTCATCCCCTACTTCATTGCATTCATGGAGATTACATAGCCTGTTTTCCTGCAAATGCCTTTATGTCTACCGGAAGAGAATATGCGGAAGTTCTAAATTTAGTATAAGCTATTCTATTCTATGATTTTTATTTTTAATTTTTTCTAATGTTAAAATTCCAAATTGTCTTTAGAACACCTGTAATAGTCTAGCTTACAATTGTTCAACAAATTGTTTTTCCACTTCATGCGGTACACAAATTTGAGCTTATCTTTAAAAGTATCACTTTAAAAGTATCACACAAATTATTCTGATATGAGTCTGAATTAGTTAGATCTGTTATGACTAGTAATTTGTGGATAAAGTTAAGCCATGGGTCATGCAAAAAAGTTTTGGATTCTTCATAGGCTGCATCAATGATAGAATTGTTTTTTACATACTAGTCTTTGATAATATTTCATAACT